GGAGTGACCAAATATCCCCCAGGATCTTAGTTCTAGGAAAGTGAAATAGACCAACAGGGAAGGGCTCCACTGAACTATGTGAGCACAGTTCTGTACGCGCTTACCTCCCAACCATGGTCAGGCTGCACTTGGACTAAGGGAGCTGAGATCTCGCCCTCATCCAGGGCCCCAGTCTCGACGGAACCACCACTGGCAGCAGTGCTCTGCAGCCTGTCTTTGAGCAAGTTGAGTTTATTGTTCATTTGCAGCAAGGGAGATCACACTGAGGGGTTTAGGGCTTCTCGGAAAGGGGGTTTTAGAATGGACTTAGTGGAGGACCTGGGCTTATGCTAGATAATTTTAAGGGACGGTTCAAGGAAGGGGGGTTTGCTCACATCTTAATATGACTTTACCTTTACCTTTTGGAACAGTCAGTAGTGATGGAGGGATGGTGCCTTCGATTTACTTTGCATGCCCACTGTACACTGAAGAGGCCAAGATTTAACAGATATTTTTAAAAGTAGAAGTGAATTTTTGTTTAGCGAGACCATCAGAATTTGTGTTAACAGGGAGCACTCTGTTTTAGTTCTTGACCAGCTTTTTAGATAAACTTTTTTTTAAAGGAGATTTTTGCTATAAGAGTGCATGCACTTGCTGTAGAGACACAGACCGAAAGTGAGAAATCATCCCCCCAGGGGGTATGGCCAAGCTGCAGTTCCTTCTCCTTCATTCTCCTCTTGGAATCTTGAGCACACACGCACACGCGCCCGGCATGAGTTTTAAGCCACTGGATCTGGGACTTGACCCGCATTCAACTACATGGGAGTCGAGCAACATAACCATTATGCCATCTGCTGGTCCCTTAGATAAGCTTTTGAGAGTACTACAATCAAAGGCAGCGTGGTTTTCATTGTTATCTCACCTAGGTGTCACCCCCTCCTGTAATAACAGCCTGCTGAAGAAGCAGGTGTCAGTTAGATAGCTTCCTGGCCTGCCTTACCACACTTGGAGGTGTTTTTGAAGTCCTTTCCCCTATAAGCTTTAATGTTGTTTAAGTCTGTCGGAATTCTGTACATTAGATTTTTGTGTCCATAGTGACCAGGTCCAAATTGGGGAGTTTTTTTCGGTTTTTATGGTAGGACAAATTAAAATGTTAATGTTTAGTTTCTTTTCTTTAAGGAAAAGAATGAAAATGGAAAAATACTGGCAAATGAACTGTTCTTTCCTGAAATATGCAATGCTGCTTGGTTCTCCACCCTACACCTGGATTAAAAAGAAGTCAGAAGGATTAAGGATAAGTTGATAAGGAGTTACAGGGAAAAGGCATAAATGTCATTTGATAATAAGGGAA